TAGACTGGATTGGGAAAATGTGGCACATATACACCATGGAATATTATGCAGCAATCATAAATGATGAGTTCGTGTCCTTTGTAGGGACATGGATGAATCTGGAGAACATCATTCTCAGCAAACTGACACAAGAACAGAAAATGAAATACCGCATGTTCTCACTCATAGGCGGGTGATGAAAAATGAGAGCACATGGACACAGAAAGGGGAGTACTAAACACTGGGGTCTATTGGGGGTAATAGGGGAGGGACAGCATGGGGAGAAATGCCAAATGTGGGTGAAGGGGAGGAAGGCAGCAAAACACACTGCCATGTGTAGTACCTATGCAACTATCTTGCATGTTCTTCACATGTACCCCAAAACCTAAAATGCAATAAAAAGAAATAAAATTAAAAAATAATTACAACCTAGATGAACTGTGAAGACATTACCTTAAATGAAATAACACGGTCACAAAAGGATAAATACCCTGAGATTCCACTTATATGAGGCACTTAGAGTGGTCCAATTCATGAGAGACCAAAAGTAGAATGATGGTAGCCAGGGGCTGGGAGAGGGAGGAGTGGACAGCTATTGTTTAATGAGTACAAAATTGCAGTTTTACCGGATTAAGTAAATTGTGAATATAGGTTGTGGTGATGGCTGCACAGCAGTAATACCCCTGAAGTTTACACTTAGAAATGGTTATGACAGTAAATTTTAAGTTATGGGTCTTTTAACACAATTCAAAACTAAACATACCAAAAAAATACAGATATTAGTCTCATAGAGGTATGCTAATGAATGAAAGAGGAAATGTAGTTTTTAATTCAAAACGAGCCAAGCATTCTTGTATTTTAAAAATTGATAGTTGATTCTTTTTCTGTAACTAGTTCTAACAACTTGTCCTATAAAGTTTTATAGTTATGTTAAATTAGATTTTAATAAAATAAAAGGTTATTGTAGTAGTACAAAGCATGAAATGGAAAAAATTTCGACTTAACATATCTTGAAGGGAAAAATCTCTAGAGCCTGGTGAATTAAGTAGTGATTCCATGGACCCATGCTGAAAGAACATGTACAATTGTAAGCATTTGTGACTGTTGATGTGGTGTTTGAAGGTTATTTTCAAGAAATTATATAGAAACAAGAACCATCATCTCATGAGAAATTCCTGTTTCTGGTTCTCCCTCAGAAGGACCAGATTAAAAACTACAAGAGTATCATGCTCTGTTGAGTAGGCTTGATATTTGGGAATACCTATTATGCTAACTCAGATGGTGATTTTACCCTGAGAACATATCTTGTGAGTACTGCAGACACAGAATTATATTAACAAATCTAATCGACCAAATGCAAAATTCAACATTCTCACATTGGCTGGTAAGAGAAGCAGATGAATCCTAATTTTCCTCTCTTGGCAGTGACAAGTACTACCCTTCTGAATGTGGTCACCACACTTAAGATGCTAAAAATGAGGGAAAGGCTTCCACCACAGTGCCTCAATTCTGCTCCTTGTCTATCAGAAAACACCTAGGCACAGATTTTGCAGGCTAACAGGAGCAGTATTTTTTCTCTGCAATTAACGCAACAGAGTACATACAAAACTCTGTCCTATTTTGTGTTATGAAGGGAATCCTCACTATATATATGTGAGTGTGTGTATATATATCCACAAACATACATATATATATTATATATGTGTATGTGTATATACAAGATATATAGTACAAAGACATAAAGATACACACACATACGTATATATATTTTTTCATTACTAGCCATAACCTATTGCTAGTTCTGTAACTAGCAATAACTGTAAATGCCTATTGGGGCCATCTTTAACTAAAGAAAGTCTCTCTACCCAGACTTCCAGCTCCTCCCACCACACTCCAAGGTAGCTTCCTATAGCAATTCCATAGGAAGCTGATGCCTGGAATTGCTGTCCATAGAGATAAGCCCATTTACCAACAGGAGAGTGAATAATAGGGAATTTCTGATGTTGGCCCCAGAGTAAAAATGTTCTAAACACGTGAGGGCCCTATACACACACATTGCAAGAAAGAAGCCACTATAGGACTAGGTAAGAGCTTCAGAATTTAAAGGGATGCCCAAAGAATATTATGGTGGAGGATTTACATTGTTTATCCAGAGACCCAAGAGTAATGGAAGGAGCCAACTAAATGTGTGCCCCCTCTTTCCCACTCTTAGGAAGTGTATTTTCAGGAAACCAAAGTAGGACATAGAGCCTGATGTGCCAAACTATGGGAAAATCAACAAGAACTGGGATGATAATGAAAGAATCATTGCCCACAACTATAAAAAGAGGCTCCTATGTTTGGGAAATACTGATACTTTTATTTATGTCATCAGTTTTATGTCTTCTGTAAGACTTTATTTCCTACTGCTGTTTATAGGTCAATTTATAAATCATAAAATGTACTACCTCCCACATGCAATGTTTTAATATCAGTAGTAACTCTCATAAGTCTTTCATAGTTTTTTTCACTAAAAATTGAGACGTTTTCTCCACTGCATTCCTATATTGCATAGCCCGGGGCTTTCACTTACTGGATGTTAAATCCCAAGAGATCAGATTCATGTCTCAGACTGCCACTCGTTAATGCCAAATGATACGCTGAGAGAATCACTCACTTGAACTTGTTCCTACCACCATGGTCACAAAAGGTAAAGGAGAAAATATATACATAAATATGATTTTGTTGGCAGCAATTAATATGACTGTAAATCCTATAGTCATGGCTTGAAATGGAATAAATACAAGTGCAATTATTTAATGGTCTGAAATCCATTTATCCTTTGGAAATATATTAAATTCCTGAATAGGAGCAGTATGGTTGGATTCCAAATCGATTTGTTCCTTAAAGTAGCCTTCTCAGGATTGAAAAGTGCCAACACCTTTAGTACCAAGTATAAGGTCACATCTTACAGGAAACCATTCTCTCTGAGTTACCCTTAGAAGACTGAAGATGAATTAGCAGTGTGTTCTTTATCTGTGTAACACAGAACAATCAGCTATCTGGGTCATGGGCTATCGGGTATCAGTACCTGGGGAGTTGACTGAAGTGGAGCAGCAGCAGGAGAAGCACATGTTGTTCCTACATCCAACCAGTCTGCAGCCTGGCATTTAGGTCCAGGTCTGACTTTTCCTGGGATAGGTACACTTTATAAAGTAAACAGTGAAGCCTCAATAGGAGAGTTCAGTTAATGGAGTCTAGCAGTAGGTCTCGACCTGACTGCACATAAATCACCTGGGGTGAGGGGTGGGATGAAAAATGCCAGTTCCTATGCCTCTCACACAGACCAATTAAATTAGAATGTCTGGGGTAGTTCCAGGAAATCAGTATTTTTCAAACATTCCCTTTGTGATTTTAATGTGCAGCCTGGGTCGAGAACCACCTTTTTAGATGTTATTCAAGCCTTATTATGGGGAATAGAGGATACACCTATAACCTAACTCTTAAACGGTCATCTGGGGAAGCCAACATTTAAAGCTGCTTAATAGAGGACATACAGAAAAATATAAGCTAGTTTTTATCAAGGATTTTTTTTTTAAAGCAAGCAATGCTTCCAACTAAAGAGAGCTGCTTTTAAAATCTTAGGGCTGACTTTCTTTTGACCTATGTAAATTGGCCTACTTCTTCCTTATATAACTGTCTATAGAATTTTTATAACCATATACTCTAAAAGAAGATGGGTCTCCCTTCCACACTCTTCACCCAGCAGTTAATTTATTAACACAAGAGTGATAGATATCAATTTTCATGATTTATCAGCTTTCCACAAATTGTGCTCTGTGTACCCAAATGTAAATAAAGAAATAGTCATTAATTAATTAACAAACAACCATAAAACAAAACAAAAACCAGAGTAAATGTCAGCGATAGAAACTTCCCCCAATTTCCCATCCCGTCTCTCCTGCGGAATTAGTCTGGCCCTTTGGCCCAAAGCTGATTTCCTGGCTCTGAACTAAGTTTTTGCAAATGGACTGTACTAGTCCATTTCACACGGCTATAAATAATACCTGAGAATGGGTGATTTATAAATGAAAGTGGTTTAATTGACTCACAGTTCCACATGGCTGGGAAAGCCTCACGAAGCTACTGTAAGATCCAGGCAGAAGTTGATAAGGGCTGAACCTAGGGTGGTGGCATTCAGAACAAAGAGGGGCTAATGGTTTAGTAATATCAAGTACATGGAATAGACGTGACTTAGTGATAGACAGAGTGCTGTCTAGTCCCTAGCACGTCTTACAGATTTCTGGCTAGGATACTTGGCTAAAGAGAAAGACCCACTCATCATGTTTTCTATTTTCAGCAATAGGGACCTGGCCAAGGTGATCAGTTTAGGGAATGTTTGTCAGGTAAAATAAGGATCCTCCAGTTAAATTTAAATTTCAAATAAACAACAAATACATTTCCAGTATACAATATGTGGGATAGATGCTAACGAAAGGTCAGAGTTCAGATGGCCTGCAATTAGTAAGATAGCAGAGGGATGGAAAGGCAGGACTAACCTTGAGGTGACAAATTGTTTCTTCATAGGCACTAGAAACAGCAGTCAACAAAAGGTCTTGCTGTCAAGCACTTATATTGATAACTTTGCTTACTGTACCATATATATATGTTAAGTTTCTCCATTTCTCTCTGATAATGGGTAATTTACTTCATGTTGCCATAGCAAAATATTCAACATGGGCTTAAGAAACAGTACTGTGGAAGTAGAGAAAAAATAGAAACTTACTGACAGCACATTTATGTACCAATTCATTTTTCAAGATATTTTGGTCATATTTAGACCTAGAAAATCATTATTTCCTTAAAATGTACTCAACCGGATTGGTGATCCTTCCTATCTACACATTTAGTTCTGGAAATGCTAATGCTCACTGTTCATTCTATCTCCTTCTCATTAAAGGGAAAATTTTCTTCTTGCAATTCTAAGTATGGACTGGGGAAATAAATTTCTTTTTCTTTTCTTTTCTTTTTTTCTGAAACAGAGTCTCACCCTGTCATTCAGGCTGGAGCATAATGGCACAATCTTGGCTCACTGCAACCTCTGCCTCCCAAGTTCAAGTGATTCTCCTGCCTCAGCCTTGAGTAGGTGGGATTACAGGTATGTGCCACCACACCCAGCTAATTTTTTATATCCTTAGTAGACATGGGTTTCACCATGTTGTCCAGGCTGGTCTTGAACCCCTGACCCTCTGATTCACTCATCTGAGCCTCCCAAAGTGCTGGGATTATAGACGTGAGCCACAGGGTCCAGCTGGAAATAAATTTTTATAGTGGCAGGAGGAAGTTGCTAAGCTGACACGAAACACTTTTTTCCTCACAATGTGTTCTCATCTAGAAAAATACTACCTAGCTATTGTTTACTAAAGTATATCTAAGTGAATACAGACACTTTCTTCCATTTGTTTAGAACAGTGATAGCATAGTAGATAGTATAATACATTTTCTATCAAGTTAAAATACAAATGTAAAGGAGAATGGGAGAAACAACCAATGAAAAACTACTGATTGAAATCTGTAAGGCTAGTAGAAGCCAAATATTGTAAATAGGATCTTCAGGATCAAGAGATTTCTGTAGGCTGGGCTGCCAAGGGGACGCATACAGAAGTGGAATCCTGGAGCTGAATCTTAGAGAATGGGTAAGATTTAGATACATCCTATAGAGTGCAAGATGGACATCTGAGAGGAAAATTAGCTTGGGCAAATGCATCGAGGCAAGACCTCAGCATACTCTATGTAATATATATTCGGATTACTAACCTTCCTGAATCCAGGAAATTGTGTTGAGGAATCATAGGGATCAGTCTGGATAGAAACATGACAACAAAAGGTCTTGAAAGTCATCAGAGGAGTTTTGGCAGAAAGAGTAATGGTAACTGGCATTTTTCTAAGAGTATTCTGATAGTGATATAGGTGATGCATTAGAAGAAAGAGATAAAGTAACCAGCTAGATGAAGCACCTGGTATGGTTCAATTATGCCAGACAGAAGGGAGTCCTCTGATCTGTATTCTTGAAACAGTTACTTGTCTATCATTGCATGCTGCTCTATCCATAGGGCAAGGGTCAGCAAACAGTATTGATAAAGGGCCAGAGAGTAAATAGTTTAGGTTTTATAAGCTGTAAGGCCATCTCTGCTCTTCAAGGCAACCCTGCCTCCAATTGGAGAAAGAAAGCAACCATAGAAAATAGTGTAAAGAAATGGGTGTTTGGTCTTCCAATAACATTTTATTTACAAAACTAGGCAGTGTGGTGGATTTGGCCTGTGCGCTGTAGTTTGCCTTACTCTGTTCTAGGGTGTTGGGTAACTACAGATTTATGAAGCAATGGACAGCTTGAATGGAGAGTACAACTCTGTCATTTTAGTTGTCTATTTTCCTTGTTACTCAGTTAAGAAAACTCCTTATTCTATAAACAACATATGTGGGAAGGGAAAATACTTTCTTAGATTTATCTTGCCTGGAGTGTAATTATTACCATTATTATTACTAATATATTGTTATCTAATCATAAGTCTCATTGTTTTTATAAATCATATCCCTGTGACTGAGATAATAAATGGATAAATGACCATTGTACAATGTGAGAATAGAGGTGGGACAACTTAGCATGAGCAATATACCTTGAAATGTTAGGTTAATACAAATATAGGACCACATGTATTGCTGTGGTAGCAGACAAATTTCCAAAGATACCTGTCAAATGCATCGATATTTTGGTTAAGGGTCAGTTGATACCTTTCAGCAACCCCTAGCTCCCACCCCTAAAAGTAGGTGGAGTATGCAGAGGTGGGTTAGCAGAGCTAAGAATTGGGTATAGGAGGATAAAAAAGAAAGAGAAAAGGGAAGGAAGTTAAAAGAGATAAAACGGTAAAGAAACTACTGGTATAGAGGAGGGCTCTAGTTTCTTGTTTTCACAAGGTTGTAAGTAGATCCATGTGCCAAAAGGCTAATAAAAGAAAGTTTGCAGAGGGGCTGATTTGAATTCTATGATTCCAGGGCATTTCTTTTATTCATCTCAGTCTAGTAGGTACTTGTCCCAGGTTTTATGCTAGGCTCCACTTACACAAAAATGGCTGCTATTACCAAGAGGCATACAGTCTGGTAAGAGAAGGTAAGCCAAGCCCCACAAAATATAATACCACATGTTCTGAGTATCTCAGCACATAGCAAGTGTTCTAGAAAGATTAATGCCAAACCAAACCTGTAGCAATTGTCACCCCTTTGAGAAGAGCATTGAGGGTGGTGAGTACATATATATAAAATATCTATTTGTAAAGAGAATATATGTATGAATTATGGAATTAAATAATTGAAAAGAAAGGTGAAAAGCAATACAGGAAGAACATAGATAAAACAAGAGGAATTTGCCTTCAAGGGAAGACAATAAAATCATAGGCCAGTGCTGCCATAGAAAAGTCATAGAGGACTGGATCAGACAGACTGGCACTCTGACACTTAAGCATGACCCATGAAAATCCAACTTATCTGAGTCTCAGTATCTTTGTCTGTGGGAATTGAATAAGTTGGATTTTCATGGGTCATGTTTAAGTGTCAAAGTCTGTGGAACCTTTATCATGATCATGATTTCCTATTTTTCTCTTCATTAAGAAACATCTAACATGTGTAAGGCCTTAAGTTAGGTGCTAAGGACACGAAGAAAAATCAGATTAGCCTCCTTGCCCTCATGGGGGTCACAGTAGTGCTGAAAGATAATGTAACTGCAGCAAATGAAGGACTTCAGAAAATGCCACCCCAAAATATGCAACTTCAGTATGCTAATTATTTTATATTGAAGACAACTGAGGAATATTTAGTTAATGCACGGAGGGGCTTTCTTTGAATTTCCTTATCTGCCTAAAAATGGATCACTATTATCATAAATTATCTTCCTGGGAATTTCATCAACCCTGAAACCTTAACTCTTTGACACTACCCCCACACAATCACCTTTTCTTCTGAAGGATGCTCCTAGACAACTTTTATTACTTGAGAGATGTTTTATCTGCATAATAAGACAATCTTTATTTTCCATAGGTTTCCTCCTGTTACCCTCTCATAACTTGTATCACCATCACCCCTCAAACACTTATTCTTTTAGGTATCTCAGCATGCTAGTAAGTGTCAATCATCTGACTCTTCTGTGAGTCCCATATCTTGTGGACTCCATGAATAAAACATAACTAAATATATTTTTCTCATGTTAATCTGTTTCTGTGTCAATTTCATTCACAGCCCAACCAAAGAACCTAGAAGAGGGGAGTGAAGTCATTTTCATTCCCCTACACAAGCATAATTTTCAGCTGTAAGATCCAATAACCCAAATGCCATATGAAAGGCATGAGAAGGATAAATGAAGCATTATAAAAAAGTGAATTTTTAGTGAGGAGTGACTGTAAGGCTCGATGAAGAAGGGAGCATTTAAGGTCACAGCAGTAGAGCAAAGTAAACACAGCAGTAATGTAAAGCAAGTGACATGAATTTTCTGGTTTCTCAGTGCATGTAAAAGTTTTGCTGACATTATACAGTAGTCTATTAAATGTGCAACAGTATTATGTCAAAAATGTACATACCTTAATTAAAAATACTGTCTTGTCAAAAATGCTAATGACCATCTGAGCTCTCAGGGAGTTCTGATCTTTTTGCTGGTGGAGGGTCTTGCCTCGATGATGGCTGCTAACTGATCGTATGGTGGTGGTTGCTGAAGGCTGCGAAAGCTGTGGAATTTCCTAAAATGAAGTAACAATGAACTTTTCTACGTAGATTCACTTCCTTTTCTAACTGATTTCTCTGTAGTATGCAATGCTCTTTGACAGCATTCTGCCCATAGTAGAAGTTTCAAAGTTGAATAGATCCTATTAAATCATATTGCTACTTTATCAACCAAGTTACTATAATGTTCTAAATCCTTCGTCATTGGTATAGTGTAAATATGTGTCTCCATCCAAATCTCATGTTGAGTTGTAATGCCCGATGTAAGAAGTGGGATGTGCTAGAAGGTGACTCAAACAAGGGAGTGGATTTCTCATGAGTGGTTTAGCACCATCTTCTTGTTGCTGTCCTCACAATAGCGAGTTCTCATGAGATCTGGTTGTTTAAAAGTATGTGGAAGCCCCCCATGCCACCCTGCCTTGCTCCTCCTCCTACCATGTGAGACGCCACCTCCCCAGAAGCAGATGCCTGTGTTATGCTTCCTCCACAGCTCTCAGAACCCTGAACCAACTAAACCTTCTTTCTTTACAAATTGCCCAGACTCAGGCACTTCTTTAGAGCAATGCAGGAATGGACTAATATAGACAATTAGTACTGAAGAGTGAGGCATTGCTAGAAAGATAATAGAAAATGTGGAAACAGCCTTGGAATTGGGTAACAGGCAGAGGTTGGAAGAGTAGGGTGCAGAAGAAGACAGGACGATGAGGGAAAGTTTGGAACTTCCTAGAGACTGGTTAAATGCTTGCGACTGCAATGTTGATAGTGATATGGACAGTGAAGTCCAGTCTGCCAAGGTTTCAGATGAAAATGAATTTGTTGGGAACTGGAGTGAAGATCACTTTGTTATGCCTTAGCAAAGAATTTGGCTGCCCTAGGGATCTGTGGAAGTGTTAACTTCAGACTGATGACTTATGGTATCTAGTGGAAGAAATTTCTAAGCAGCGAAGTGGTCCAGAAGTATTCTAGCTACTTCTAACAGCCTAACTCTGATAAAAGAGCAAAGGAATGACTTGAAGTTGGAGCTTATAGTTAAAACAGAAGCAGAGCCTGACACTTTGGAAAATGTGAAACCTGGCCACATGGCAGAGGAAAAAAAAAAAACAAAAAAAACTTTTTTGGGAGAGGAATCCAAGCAAGCTGCAGAGCAAGCAGATGCTAGAAAGATTTGCATAACTGAAAAGAAGTCAAGTGCTGATAGCCAAGACGATAGGGACAATACTTCAATGGTATTTCAGAAACCTTCACAGTAGCTCCTACCATCACAGGCCTAGAAGCCTAGGAGGGAAGAATAGTTTTCTGGGCCAGACCCAGAGTTGCAGGCTGGAGACACTTCTCCGTGTATCCTGGCCACTGGGTCTTTAGCCTCCACTCAAAGGGGCCCAGATACACCTT